GCCGGCCCCGCCCCCTTCCGCCCCGCCCTCCCATTGGCTCGTAGCGGAAGAGGCGGGACCGGGCGTGGGAACGCAGCGATAATCTCGCGGGACTTCGCGGGGTTATAAAAGGGACGGGCGCATGCGCAGCGCAGTGGCGGGCTGAGGGGTGGTGGTGGTTGCACTCGTTTGTCCTTTCCGGGGCTTCTCTGGTCCTGACGGTGTCCCCGTGCTCCCCCAGCSCTCAGAGGCTGCTCTTCCGCTAGCTGCCGCTGCCTGGGTTCGTGTCTGTGCGACTGCGTCTCCAGCCCTGTGAGGTACAAGCGGTGCCTGGGCCTGGATGGCCGCTATGATGCCTTCAAGCATCCGTGTGGCGAAATTTGGGTGTACTTAGAGCTTTCCAGGAGAAAAATTACTGTGTTTTCTAGCTGCGCATTGTTTTGTACTGGCACCGTAAATGAAACATTGATGGTAGGTGTATTTAGGGACAAAATTAACCTTATTTTCTCACCCGAGAACCTTTGTTTGACTCTGCCTTGCAGCAGCCTGTCCTTACCTTTTCTTAATTTTACAGGCAATCCTGTAAATCATAGGCTTTTGGTGGTGACCTGCTTGAAACTCCTGCTACAGGGATTTCAGTGTGCTGTTGCTGCTGGTGGGTCAAGGCATGCTGTGAATGAAGCTGTGCCTGCTTAATTATTTTTTTAATAGTGTTTATATTATTGCCGAGGCAGGGTGGAGGTCGATCCAGGGGTTGCTGCCTCTTGGGGACCCGGGTTTGTGGGTTCCCCCTTGCTCAGGTTCTCCCTCTGGGGCAGCTCTGGGGTTTCCAGGTGGGGTGACTCACACAGGCAGGTGACTCACCCTCCTCTGGTCCTGTCCTTGGGCAGGGAGTTGGTATTTGGGGTGGTAACAGGGGCAGGGACAATGCAAAATGGGTCATAATGGGGTGAGTGTTGCTGGGCCCGTGGCTGGTGGTAGCCTGTGGGGCTCAGTATCACTTGCCSTTGGGCTTTTCCCTTTGGGATTTGGCCACCAAGGGGCCAGCTGGTGTCCCTTGCTTGGTGGAAAGGCAGCTGGGGTGGTGGCAGGGGGTGGGGGAGCCCACTGTCTCTCAGGGAATTCATTGCATTTTTGGGCACAGGCTGCCCAGGTTCCTCTTGCACTCAGCACCGTGTTCCASGATGGGGTGGGGTCCCTGAAGGAGGATCCTGCCTTCTGCACCCTCAAGTTGCCTTCCAGGGCTCATAGATGTACTGGCTGGGGCAATCATTGAGGATGGGGARGTGTTTATGGCAATAGGTCAAAGCCGTCAGGGAACCCTCCCCATTTCACATGGCTTTGTGGTTTGTGCTCTCATGTCCTARTCTATTTTCTTGCTGAAGGTGGTGGGTGAGTAGACATGAAAATACCTGTAGAGGCCACAGCCAGGTGCTGGCATGGAGGGAACACTCAGTGCTGRTCAGGAGCTCTTCAGAGACCTGTGGGACACAGGGATCGTGTGGGCATGGGGTCCCCAAAAGCCTGACAGTGCTGGTGGGTGTTGGGGGGGGATCTCCTGACCTTCAGCTCTCCTTTCCAATAGACTCAAAGGTCCCTGGGAATGAGGAAACAAACAGCAGTGTGCTGAGCAAGGAGGTGGATTTAGGCCTGGGGCATTAGGATTTAGCTGGGTCTTGCTGGTGTTGATGAGGGGGTGTTTGGGTAAGATGGGGTGGGGGGATATTTTTGGGGGCTCAGAGGACATGAGACTTTTCCCTCAGAGGACATACTTCCCTTCAGGTGTGGGGGTTGTTGTCCCAACAGGCAATGAGATGGGAGGCACTGGGGTTGTGTTTTGGGATGGGGACARGTGGAGCAGCCCTGAAATTTGGGTGATGGGCACTGGGCATGGATCMTCCTCTCCATGAGCATGTTAAGTTAGGTGAGCACTGCCATCTGCCAAGGCCAGATCTTCAAAGGCTGCTTGGAGCAACCTGGACTACTGGAAGGTGTCCCTACCCATGGCAGTGGCTTGGATGATCTTTAATTAGTCTCTTYCAACMCARACTRTTCTGGGATGCTATGAATYTCCCTGCTAGGGTAGAGGTGAGGACCCAGCTTCATGCTYTGGTCCACCCTGGGCTCACTCTGGAGATGCTTCCATGTGAGTGCCAGAGCCAGCCTCTCTGGAGATCCAAGGTCAGGGGGCTTTGCTGTTATTCAGGTTGAGGACTCAGGTAGGAGAGGGCGACACATTCGGCACCGGGGCTGGATCCYCAGGCACCCACCTCCTGGTGTCACAGAGGGTGTGGGACACCTCCTGAATCACCTCCACACTGTGCTGGGCCACCAACTCAGCCATGGTGACACTGCAGTGACAGGTGGAGGGTTGTGTCCCCATCAGAGGTCACAGCATTGTCCCCTAGGCAGGGGAGAGATGGGGAAATCTGTGCCAGGAACAGCCTGGCAGGGAGCTGGGTGGGCATGCAGGCCATGGAGACCCTCCAGATTCCTGGGGAMTGGAACCAGGACTCACTTGGAGCCCATCTCTCACAGGGCATTGAGCAGGAACCACCAGGCATTGGAAGGGGCGAGGATGATGAGGAGATGAAGGCGGTGTCAGTCATTGGTCACCCCCAGCAGCACCAGGGGAACGTAACCTGGGAAAGGAGAAATACAGGGAGGATTTCGAGGTAAAAAAAAAAGACAATTCTGGTAAATTTAACTCCTAAAATAAGTGTGAGTGGCAGACAAGGACGTGTCTGTATTTAGCTCGGAAACCAGGGAGGGAAGCAGATCCGGGTGCAGGTGTGGGCTGGCACTGTGACACCCAGGCAGTGACGGCGTGTGGCGGATGTGGGAGGGAGGCCYGTGGGAGGGCTTGGCTTCCTCTCCCTGCAGTCCTGGCCCATTTCCCTGCCCGTGCTTTCACATGTCCTGGCAGAGACTGGAGCTGCTGGCAGCTGGGGGCACCTGGGTGTTCGGGGAGCTCCTCCACTCGGTCCCTGGGGAAGCAGGTGGGTGCCCCTGTCCYCATTTCCACACTGGGGCAGCTTCACTGGGAACCACTCCAGGATGTGGAAGCTGCAAGGATGGATCAGCCTCGCYATTCACTGCAGATCCCATTAGACTCCAGAGTGAACATACTGTATTCYACCTGTCCTTTCCCACCTAGATAAACCCTGAAGATCTTCCTTTGCAAAACCCAGAGGCAGATGCATCCCCTTGCCTGCTTCAGTGCTGGACTCCTGCATTCCAGGTAAGCATCCCCCAGACTTTCCCCCCATGCTGTGCACTGTCCATGCTTATTGTTGCAGTCACACTTGAGCTTTTTGCTGTCATTAAGTGGTGACATCTGGGCACTGTGGTTTCTGTGGGTGTGCCGGGGTTTTACCAGTGTTTCCTGCAGTCTGGTGCTGTTTCTGGAGTAGGGGAAAGGCTTCAGCATGACTTGGGGTGTTTCATTTCGTAAGGGATGATGCCAGCAGTGGAAAACAACAGCTGTGTCCCATGTTGCTGCTCCTGGGTGTTYGCAGGGAGTGTCTGTGTTCCCTAAACCATGCTGGGAGCATAATGGTGAGGCATGGGATGGCATGAGCTGGCAGGAATGCCAGGGCAGGTAGCTCTGGGCATCACACACACTGCCTTTGGTTTGCTAGCACCCTGTCCATCCCTGTTGTGCCCTGCTGATTCCCACTTTCCCCTCCACAGGATCCTTTGCCCACTGATGGGAATGAGGGTCTCTCCTCCCCGTTATCTCTTGGCCTCGCTCGCTGCAGGTGTGTATCTCCAGYGGAGAGAGCCAGTAACAGGTAAATGTTCCTTCCCAGCAAATTTTAGGAAGGCAGATGTGGAAAACCCTGCTGGGGATGATTTTGGGGCTGTAAGAGAGCACCCCAGAGCTGCAGGTCCCTGGAACAGACTATGCTGAGCAGCCTGTTCAGCAGGCTGAGACCTGCTGTGGAATGTTTTTTTTATTCTTATTTTCTGTTCTCAGGAGAGGTGTTCTGCTGGCAATCGGCAGCTGAGCAGCGTGCTGCCCACTATGGCTGGTGAGTCTGGAAATAAACCCTCTGGCTCTGTCCCCTCCCTCATGGCCTCCCCTTCCTGACAACACGAGGGTGCCCAGTGGCTGGTCCCCATGATGCCACAGCATTTGTGTGTTGGTGGCAGCTGAGATTTTAAGGACCAGGGTGGTTTTGGGGGTCAAGGTGAGATGCCACCCACCCCTTTCCATCTGCAGGCATCCTGCTGATCGAACAATGCTGTGTTGGGAAGCTCATGGGGAGCTGAGCCCCCAAAACCTGACTGTGGCCTCACTCTGCAGGTTGGTTCAGGCGGCTCCTGCATAAACCCAAGCCCAGTTTAGTGGAAAGCAGCCTCAAGTCCAGCCAGTCTGCTTCATCCTCACCTTCCTCCTCTTCCTCTGCCAAGAGCTCCAGTTCTTCTCCTGATGTGAGCTTGGCCACCAGCTCCATCTCCCTGTCATCTGTGTCAGCACCGGACATCAGTGCCTCGGACAGCCCCCGTTGGGACAAGAGCTACGATGTCTGCATCTGCCACAGCGAGGGGGACGTGGAGCTGGTGGAGGAGCTGGTGTCCTACCTGGAGGGCCAACCAGAGAGCTTCCGTTGCTTCCTCCAGCTGCGGGATGCGGTGGCGGGAAGCGCGGTGGTGACTGAGCTCTGTGATGCCGTGCAGAACAGCCACTGCTGGGTCATGCTCATCACYCCTGGCTTCCTGCAGGACCCCTGGTGCAAGTACCAGATGCACCAGGCCTTGGCTGAAGCTCCGATGGCCAAYGGACGCACCATCCCGGTGCTGAAGGATGTGGATCGCAAGGACTATCCCAGGGAGCTGCGAAATATCTACTACATCTACATGGCACTGAAGGAGAAGAGCTTCAGGCAGATCAGAGACACCGTCATGCGCTGTGAGTATCCTGTGGGATGCTGATGAGACATCACTCCATTGGGATGAGGACCATGGGAAGGGACCAGATTCCATAAATTTATTTAAACACTTGATTTTTAGATTAATTGGTTGCTAATGGAGCTTATCTGCTGTCTCTGCAGACCTCCAGGAACTGTGCCGGAGCTCCACAAAAAGGATGGACTAGTGCTGGGAGCAGGCAGATGCATCCCCATGGGCATCATGGAGCTGTCACCKTTGGATCTGGGTGTGGCTATGTCCCAAAGGACCTTGGGGTTGAACCTGAGCTGCTCAGACCAGACCTGGGAACCAAAGATGGAGAGTTCCTCACTTCCATGAGGGAAGAGCAGCGCCCGCCACATCACAGTGGTGTGACCTCCATCCCGGTGGACAGGACCTCCTCAGCAGGGACAGGGACATCTGTCACGCAAACACTAAACTGTCACATCGGGTGGGTTTTGGGGTCACCAGAGCTCCTTCCTGCGCTGTACTGAGGGGCTCTGGGACCCCCACTAAGCTGACAAAGTGCCTCATGCGCAGTGGGCAGGACAAGATGAGGCAGGCAGCGACTTTGCACGGGATCGTTGCCACTACGAAAATGCAGAAGTTTTAAATGTCGGTGGTTCTTCTCATTCTCTCAATGCCCGGTTGGCGGGTTTGTGGGAGCGGGAGCCGCGGGGGTGCACGGCCGCCGAGCCGATAGGGGGCGTGAGTCCTCGGCGCTCCCCGAGGCGCCGCGCATGCGCAGTGCAGCGGCGCGCCTGAGCCATGGCGGAGGGCCCGCAGCCGAAGAGGAAGCGGGAGGAGGAGGAGGAGAAAAATGGCGGGGCCACCGCTCAGGGCGGGGTTCCTGCTGCCTTCGCGCTGTCGGACCTGCGGGTGCGGCGCGTCCTGCGGGAGTCGGCGCGGGACAAAATCGTGTTCCTGCACGCGGAGGTACCGGAGGGGGGGGGGCGATCGCTCCCGCCGCCATTTTCCCCGCTGAGGGCTCGGCCCCGCCCCCGGCGCGCGCTCCGGGCAGGCCCTGCCCCCGGCACCGCTATCGCGATTCCCGGTCACCCCCTGTGGCCTGTCCCAGCCTAGCTCCGAGCCGCTTCTCCAGCCTGGCGCTGCTCAAATCAGGCTGAGCTGAGGGCAGGGAGGCGGCTGGAGACCTTATTTCGAGCCTTTTTCTTGTTCTTTGATTCTTTTGGGTTCAAGTAGGTTGTTCGTGCTTGGTGGGTAAAGTGGCACTGCATTGCAAGCAGCACACCGACTCTGGGACTGCAAATAGTACAGCCATTATCGGAAAATTTTTAATAACTCTTGAGGTTTTATGGCCAGAGTCTGGCCACGGCGTGGGAACCATGCAGCTGCCTTGGCTCCTGTCTCCTGAAGATGTGCATCCAAGCAGGAGATGAGGATAGGGAAGCTCCACACTGCTGCTTTGGTCTCGGGGCAGTTGCTCTGCCCTGTGGGCGTGACAGGGTGGGGAGCCCCAGGAGAGCCCCGTTACTCTGCCCAGGTGGTGTGATGAGGCTTCAYCTGCATCCTGTACAGACAGGAATGATTTTGGGGAATGTTCCACACCCAGCACCTCCCAAAACCAGCACGCTCAGGCCACTGATCAGGGCTGTGGTTCCTTGGAGCAGGGTAGCAGTAAGTGCCCCCTGCCCCAGAACTTGCTCCATGACTATGATGCAAATCCCTGTGCCTGCCTCTGCCCTCTTCCTGTGAAGCGTCAGAGATGAAATTGGTGCTGTGGGTCAGCAGGAAACCTGGGAGCATCCGGGGAGGTGCAGATGGGTTGAGTCATTGCCCACATCCCCTGCTCTCCCAAACCACCCCTGGTCCCCAGTGGGGAACAAATTCCTGTTGTGCTTCCGGGCAGATTTGCTGTTTATTTTTGGATGGATATCTGGCCTATGAGGGGGTTTGGGCAAAAGGACTGGGAGGCTATGGGGTATCTGCTGTGATCCCTGACCTCAAACTCCCCACSCAGTGCTGGATCTGTGCTGATGGCTTTATTCATTCCTATTCCAGAGGATTGGTCTCTCCGGAGAGGGCACAGATGCTGTAGTCATCCTGGAAAAGACTCCTTTCCAGGAGGAGAAGATCCCAGACCTGCTGAAGAAGCCCATGAATGCAGAGTTGCAGATGCACAATGACATTTACTGCACGTTCTACCTGAGCCCTCCCCCGGAGCTGAGTGGTGAGTGCCCTCAGCCCCATGTAGGGATCTGGCAGGGCAGCTGGGAGGCTGGGATGTGGTTCCTGCCTGCTTTGGATCACAGGATGAAGTGAGATGGGCAAGTGCCACTGCTGGACCTGGCTGTGCTACCCTGGTTGTGGTTTGGTGACAGCAGCACACCTGGCCCAGGTGGGGAGGTCAGTGGGTTGTTGCCACACTGAAGGCAGTGTTTTATCCTTCTGATCACTGCCATTTCATCCCCTTTTTCCCACATCATGGACATGTGGCTCAGCTGATGAGCCACTAAATGGCTGTCACTCATTACCTTGATGGGAAGGTGCAGGAGGGCTCTCCATGGGTGTTTGTCAGTGCTCTTGGTGTTCTTGCTTGGGTAAGAGTTGTCTCCTTCCAGAATGTTTCTATTTAAAACAGTCTGCAGGGTACACACAGCTGCTTCTCATCCCAAAATGACATCTCACGGGCTTTTTTTGTTACCTGGTAAGGATAGGGAGCTTGTATTTGGGGGAGAATTTAAATGCTGGTAAACTTGAATGCTGGGGCAGATGAGCCCCATCCCCCTGCTGATTTCATGCATCTGTGTGTTCTAAAACTGTGTTAATAACCAAGTATGACAGATAGGCAGGTTGGGGAGCTGGAGTGGAAGGCTCTTGCCCTGCAGAGGGAACTCTGGTCCCAGTGGAAAGGTGTCCTGCAGTGGTGGTGCTCTTCAGCTGCCACTGGAGAGCAGGAGTGATCTTTGGGCATTTCAGTTTAATCCCAGAATCTCAGACTGTTTTGGGTTGGAAGGGACTTTAAAGCCTATCTCATTCCACCCTGTGCTATGGGCAGGGACACCTTCCACTATCCCAGGGTGCTCTAAGTCCCAATGTCCAGCCTGGCCTTGGACACTCCAGGGATCCAGGGGCAGCCACAGCTTCTCTGGGCACCCTGTGCCAGGGCCTGCCCACCCTCACAGGGAGCAATATCCCATCTAACCCTGTCCTGTGGCAATGGGAAGCCATTCCCCCTTGGCCTGTCACTCCAGGCCCTTGTCCCCAGTCCCTCTCCAGCTCTCCTGGAGCCCCTTTAGGCCCTGGAAGGGGCTCTGTGCTCTCCCCAGGGCCTTCTCCTCTCCAGGCTGAACACCCCCAGCTCTCCCAGCCTGGCTCCAGAGCAGAGGGACTCCAATGCTCAGGGTATCTCCATGGCCTCCTCTGGGCTTGCTCCAGTGGCCCCATGTTCTTCCTGTGCTGAGGACCTCAGAGCTGGAGACAGGTGGGGTCTCACCTGAGTGCAGCAGAATCACCTTCCACAATTAATTCCTTGTGAATGCTGGTGTATATTTAAATTCTGGAAGTGCAATGATAAATTCCGTATCAATGCTTCCATAAACTCAATAGCAGCCAAACCAGTTTAATAGAGTCGAAGTTAATCCGAGTGCCTTAAATAAGATGTTGTTGCAGTCCCAAGTTAAATTTTCAGGATGTTTGATGTGTCTTCCCAAAAACGCTCTTGTTTTAGCTCTGTTCCCACAGTGTAGGAGGAAGCGCTGTCTGGATTTGTCAGCCTGAGCTGTGCAAAACTACTTTTCTCCTGTGAAGGATTAAAAATTAAAGGTTTTGGTGTTACAGTAAGTTTCAGTCTGAGGAAAACTGTAACACCATGGGTATTGTTGGAAGGTGCTAAAGCTCCTTTTCTTTAGCTGGGAAAGCTCCTGCTTGGGCGCCTGCTGTATTGCAGCCTGGTAGGAGTTGCAGTGATTCCCACGAGGTGGCATTGCAAGACTGAAATCCCCTGGGCTGTCTCCAGCTCAGCCGTGCCGGTCTGTGCCTTCCTTGCAGCACTTTGCTGCAGCGCTGTGTAACTCTGCATTACTCTGATAATACAATTCCTTATTTTATRTAAGTCTTATGCCGGGTGTGAAACCCCTCTCACATATTTGAATGTGGAAAAAGCCTCTGGCTTTCTTCTGTTGAACTTTATGATTTTTAAATTCATCTTTAAAAGGTAAGTTTTTTTTCAGAAATATTACCCTGTGGTGCATGTTTGCTTACCACCTCTCTCCTTGGCAGCCCTCTACTCATTCTGGATGTCCCAAGCAGCAGATCAGGAGGGGGCTGTAGACCCTGGAGCTGCTGTCCAGGCTCCCTGAATCGGAGTGGGGAGCAAGGAGGCTTCTTCCTTTGAATAAATTAGCAGCAAATAGCTGTTCTGTGGGCACATGGCATGAACTGCTGGTGGGCTGGCACGGGGGAAACAGCCCTGTGCGTCASGAGGGGAAGGAAATTGCCCTTTGGAGCTGAGTCATGGCCCAAGGATGAGGAATGCAGCTTAAAAACCTTTACAGGAGAAATTGCTTGTGAAGCTTGAGTCAGGGTTTGACTGACCTGGGATGTCAAGTGATATGTGGAGAGCCAGGGAGCCCTTGCACAGGGTCTGTTGGCTCCTTGGTTGTGGGGTTAGAGTTACAGGGTTTCATCTCCTGGTCCTTGCCAGTTTACACTTGGGTACAAGATACAATAAAATATTTCGTAGAAAAGGTCAGACTTTGGCACTAAGCAGTTCATGGAACAATCTCCTGCTTTGTGGTATTGTGTGGTGAAGAAATTCACCTGAGGGATTTCACAGAACTCTGGRCAGCTGAGCCTTCCCAAGCTCAGCCTCTTGCTTTCTGAGTAAGATTAACCTCGAGATGCAGGAAGTGGTGATTGCAGGTGACTCGTGATGATGCCTTGACAAGCTGTCTCTGGAGAGTGTTTCTCAATGTTGCCTCTGTGGTCCCAGGTCCCTGGGGCTCTTCATTCAKCTGGGGTTTGTTAGAGCTGGAAGTGGAGAATTGCTTCACCCTGTGTCCTCCTGAGGGGAAGAGAGTCAGGTGCTGTTCCCTCTTGTGCAGTCAAACCAGYACAGGCCCTGTGTGATGATGCCTTGTTTGTGTGGTGACATGGGGAAAAGGAGGCCAAATYATGTTACTGGAGCAAATGACTCCCCTCTGACCTCAGAAGAGGTATTTCAGTCTGGGAAGCTGAATCTCACTCCAATGAGATTTTTAGGTCTGGGAGCACACCGGTGTGAAGGCAGCACCAGATGAATCTTGCTCAGCTCATTGGTTTTACTGCATGTGTCAGGGCTAAAAGGGGAAATAAAGTTTGCAAACAAGCCAGTAACGGGCAGAGTTTGTCTAAAGGGCAACCCAAACCGCTGGAGTGAGGAGAGGGAACTTTGTGGATTTGTGAGGTGTARTGTGTCAGAGCTGATGTGACTGTGCTGCTATCAAAGGCAGGCATTGCAACTTATTTTAAGGTCACTTTCTGGATGTTGCCTTGATTTAAGAGGCAGCTTATTCCTTGATGTGACAGTAACCCCAGCCTTGGCTTTCCCCTGCGGAGAGAGCAAGGGCTGATTTCACAGAAAGGGAAACATTTYCCTACTGCCAAAGATTGGATTGCAAAAGGCAGATGGTTCAATCTGCGTGTTCCCTGATAACATCCAGCTCCTCACACCCATTTGCCAAGGAGAGCTTGATGT